GCACAAAGCTGAAGGGAAACTTTGAAAGACAGCAAAAGACATGAGGCTCCTTAAATAGTGATCCTGCAGTGATCAGCTATTGCCTCCTGCACAGCTCAGGTCAGGGCTCAGCTCACCAACCAGCCAGCAGTAGTTACCTCCACGCCGGCTGCTGCACATGCAAACCATCAGCCACATCCTCCCTCACAACCACCTCCCTTCCCAGCCCAGCACGACGTTACCTGTAGAACGCGACGGGCAAGAGCCGGACGTGACTGTCTGAGGCTGCGCTGCGCAGGACCTGGTATTTTCTGGGGTCTGCAATAGCCAGAGAGAGAAGCACTGAGCATCTCCAGTGGTCCTCACGCCAGCTTGCCTACTTCTACAGCAGCACAGGGGCTGCGTGGCTTCCTTCCAGCCCCCAATAAATGGTAGCGCTTGGGTGTGAGGACCCCTGAGAGAAGAACACTGTCCCCTCAGGCTTTCTCAGGGAACAGTACGCAGTTTCAGTTGTTCCTGATCATCAGCTGGGTCACCATACTGCAGGGCAGAAGCAGGATGTTCTCAGCTTTTACTCAAGCAAGTATTTTTTCTGCTGCTTAAAGGCCCGTCAGTTCCTCCCTACAGATACGCTCGCGCTGAACCTCGCCTTTCCATCCCTCGGAGGCAGGACTCGCTCACCTCTCTCTGCCGAAGGGAAGAGGAGAGGCCAGGACGCGCCCCTCTCTTCCAGGCATTGCAAGATCTCCAGGGCCCATTCCAGAGACGTCTGAAAATCCACTCCTTCCTGGGTGTCAGAAAGGACAGGTCTAGTTTGTTTTCAGCTTTAGTTGCATAAGAGCAGAAAGGAACTCCTGGTAAGAGATTGTGCGCGTGAAGCGCTCCGTTGAAGGACCTTCACGAGTTTAGCCCGCGTTCTTCCCCTCGCCTGACAGCCTGCATTCCCCCCGGGCAATCAGGCCCTGCAGTAATGCAGTGCCTTCATCACCAAACCAGGCCACGACAGGGCTCGGGTGAGAACGATTTGCGAGCCCACCCCAGCACGCTTCCCAGCGGTGCGCGGCACAGAGCCGCTGCACGTCCTGCACTGAAGCTCTCCCAAGCAGATTTCCCCCCCCAGCCTTTCTAGTGACACCATTTCTTGGGCTTTTTTTTTTTTTTCAGTGCATTACTCATTTTATTTGGAATAACCGCCTAGATCTGTTTGCTTAAGATGTTTCTTTCCTCAATGACTCTTCCTCCAGACTCTCCCAAAGACAGACTATGAGACCAAATGATTATTTTTAACTTGAATCTGCTCTCCGGTCCGATCTGTTGGGTGACTGCACAAACGGCTGCACTTCGAAGCTGAGCAGACAGCGAAGGGACAGAACAGGCATTCCTAGGCTGGAGGACGCTTAGGGCAGACAGCCGCTGCAAGAAACTTGTCATCTTTGCTCCTTCATTTAACAGCATTCAATAATTTGGAAACCAAACACTCCCCCTTGCTGGGGACCCCTTGTCCTGTGAAACACCATGCACGTTTCCAGCCCGAGGAAAAACATCTTTTCATAAATGTGAAATGCTACACAAAAGCCACAAGAGAGATAAGAGGTTCCTGCGCTACCTGGGAGGTGTGAAGTCTAAACAGGGAACCGAAAATGGTAAGGCATTCAGGAAGAGAAATAAAAGCTGAAAAGGGAGATAAAGTGAAAAGGGAGATAACAGTCAGTTCCAGGAAAACACAGGTTTAATCTGATAAGAACAGAAGGGCTTTCCCCAGGCTCTGTCTGGGAGCTGCTGATCCCTTCCTTCTGGCAGACGGAGCTACCAGCCTGCACAGCACCGGTACAAAGGATTTTTGGGCAGCAAACCAAGCCGATCAGACAGGTTCAGTGTCATGAGAATTCCCTCGGGGCTGAATTTACCTTTGGTGCTACTTTTGCTGAGACGAGATCAACGAGTGAGAAGAACAGCAGAGAAACAAGAAGCTGCAAGGAAAAGAGACTGCCTGTTAGTTATGTTTGTGGTGGTGACTCAGAACTTGTGCTTTCCAGTAAGGAAATAACATTTCACCGAGTGCGTTCCCAGGATGGACCTGGATGAACTGCAAGCACTGCTGTTCCTTCCAGGTGAAGGCAGTGTGTTTGCAGAAGACAGACTGCAGCCTGACATCGTTCACTGCTTCCAGCGGTAAATTCCACACTAAATTCACCATTCTCAAAGCAAGGCTTGCTGCAGTCAGCAAGTCAGACGACAGACAACAACTTCTCTTGAAAACAGAGCAAGCTACCACAGATGTAAACCTGGAGGAGAGCTACATTGGTCCACAGCCAGCATGCCACCAGCAGACGCTGTGCATCCTCCCATCTCAGCAGGTGCGTCGTAATCCTGCCCTGACATACGCTTGTTACCGCTTTTCTGGATCCCTACCACATCCCTTCCCGGTGTCCTCCTCCTATCTCAACGCAGATTTGTGAGGTGAGAGCTGCTGTTATTCCACACGTACTAAATGCTCATATCAACCCAGTGAGACACCAGTTGCTGACTAGCAGCTTTTGGCTCTAGACCAGTGTAAACAGTGGAGGAGTCAATTCCATAGCAGGAGGAGCTGCTACCGTAACTCTTGCCCAGAGCAATAAAACTGAAGAGTAAGTAGTAAGGCACAGGTTCCGCTTCAACACTATTTACCTGCGAATGTCTCGCTAAAGGGACACTGCCCATACTGAGCTCTGGTCCCAGCTGTCCCCTGGAAGACCAACAGACAGCACTGCCGGGCAGCAGCCCAGCTTCCTCCTCAGCAGAGCACTTTGGAGAATTCCTGCGCGCAGAGGGCACTGAGCATGGTGAAATGGAGGAGGCATTTCCTGGAACAGACTTGGGAAAACCCTCAGGAGTTCTGCTCCTGGGATCTCCAGCACATCTTCCCAGAGCCCTTAAAAGCCTGCACTCCTGTTTCACAAACTTTCTGCATCTCCTTAACCTCCCAGCCAAGCTGCCTGAGCTAAAATCCACAAGGGCTGCTCCTTTGTCAGAGGGAGAGGTGATCCTGGCATACCACAGACTGAGCTCTCAATCTCTGCAGCACTCTCTCCAGCTCCAGTTTTTAAAGCAGCTGTCTAATAGTCCTCCCTGACTTCACAGAGGGCCAGTATCCGAGGTAAAAGTGTAAGTTTGGAACAACTTTGCCTCTAGGATAAGTATTTAGCAAGTGGTAATTTACAGCTACATTTTATCAATTAGCCACCAGCAAGATTTCACAACAGGGTTTATGAGGGATACAGCTGTATCTCAGGACAACCATTTCTCAGTTAAAGACATTCTACTTCTCATTTTCAAGTGCAGGGAACAGCAGACATTTAAAATGTGTCGTCTTGCCTGCTCTGCGTCAGTCCCCAGCCTCTTCAGTGCATTTCTCTCTTGTCCGCGTGGTGACTGCCGTTGAACGGTACAGTGGAGGAAGGCAGCCGAAATCCAAGGAGGGCCAGAGAGAGGGAAAGCCACTCCTGAAGAAAGGAATCTAGGAAACAAAACCATCATATCACAGTTTTAGCGGGGAAAAAAAAAAAATAATTAAAAAACCACAGCCGTGAATAAGGAGGAAATCAGGGGCTTGGGCAAGTCTGCATTTGAGACAAAAAAAAATTTGTAATTTTTTTTCCTGAAATTGGATGCTACCTGGAGACAGCTTAAAAAAAGTCTAGAAACAGACAGCAGCGTTCCCAAATCTCTTTTATCAGAAGTTGGACAGGTAGTTAACAGTACACACTACTATGGCTAATGTGATTATTACGTTCAATAACCTGCAAGGAGATTCTTATACTAAATTCCAGCTTTTGGAGAAAAGTTGCAGGCCGCTGAACAGACAGCGTAACAACAGGTAAAGGAGGAAGCGTACAGCAGAGCAGCAGTCAGCAGGTTCAGGAGACCAGAGATTCACCAAACCCAGGGAGCAAGGGGTGTGGCAGCTTGAGTGAATGACTCAACACTGTGCTAAAGGCTACTTCCAGTGTTTGTCTAACAAGGACTCTGCCTTCCAGTCTCCCATAAAGATTCTCTTTTCCTTACAGTGAAATACTCTGACCCATATTACACAGAAGGCCAGACTAAGTAATTATAATGACCCATTTTGAGTTTAAACTCTACAAAGGAATCCGTATATAGCTGTCCTACAAGCCTCAGTCCACATCAGCATGTCACACTGCCTGCTGCAGCCCAGCCTGGCGCATGGAAGAGGCCTCCTGGGCGCTGATCCCTCGGAGCCAGGCTACCTCTGAGCAGGTTCTCCTGCCTGCAGATCCACGCTCGGTTCCTCATACGCACCCGGTAGCTGAGGACTGCCATTCCCTCATTCTTTCCAGTTCTCCTGCAAGTGGAGCCCCAAAGAGTCTCTTCCACTGAGAGCAAAGTACCGGCTCCAGCCTCGGCCACCAAAGCTGGGAAGAAAGACAGAAACCAGCAGCATTAGTGGTGTCATATTCAGTAGGTGTTTGCAGTCAGGTATGTAAGCTATCTCAGCCAGGTACTCAGAGAAAGGGGTTTTTTTTTCCTCCTCCTTAATGAAAAAGTCCAAGTTGTACATATACACATAATAAAAGTGAGAAGTCTCACATCCTGGAAATGCAAATAGGGTTATCTGTGACCGTGTTCATACCATGGTGCCCTGAAACTCCTGTAGCTGTTCTGCAAAGGTGATGCACGTGCTTATCGCATGCAATAAACACACGTATCCCTGCGTAAAACTGCATGAAGGGTGACGTGCAAGAGAAAAAAAATCTGTACTTTTTGGACTTCTTGGTTGCTTGGCATGTAACAACCAGCCCCCTCCAACACGCATCTGAAACCAAGACAAGTCTCCCATTTTCTCACTCTGAAACAGCCTCTGTTCCCCTTCTGTCGTGACCCTCCAAAAACAAGGCTGTGTGCCCGCAGCCGGGATCAGCGATACCAAGGCTACTAAAGCACTCTGCAATTTTCCATAGGCGTTACGAACTACTACCCCCACGCTTCACAGTTTACATTAAATAAAGTTTAAAACAAATGCTCTGAACCTACACTGAACTTTCAGCTAGCACTCTTAAGATAAAATATGAACAGTTACCGCGGCAGAGCAAAGCACAATGGGACATTTGGTTTGACATGCTCTTAGAACATCATTGACCCCTTCTGCTGGTTCCTCACAGTCCAAGCTGGCATTAAGCAGGCCCTGGAAGAAGATAAATTACAAGATGACTTTTTGAAGTACCTCACCAAGCCATGTGTAAACTAATCAAAGATAACTGTAGGGGTCAGCATGGCCCAGCAAAAGAAATGTGCGCCCAACAGCTTCTCCTTCCCCCACCAGCTTGGCTGTATCGCATTAAAATTAACCTCTACCACTGCTTCCTTGTGGTACTTCACTTTACTGAATTACTGCTGCTCTTTTTGGAATTTACACCCACAATTCTCAAAACAACGGTCCAAGTGGCACATCTCATTGCTAAGAGCAGCATACGGTCAGGTATCCTGGTAAAGAAACATCTACTCTCGGACAACGGAGCAGAATGACAGAAGCAGCCGTTACCCTGAAGAAGTGAGCGGTGACGTCGTAGGAGAGCGCGTACCCTCTGGAACAGACGTTCTTCTGTGAGAAGACAAGGACAGGAAAAAAAAAAATTCATTCCTTCCCTTTTGAGTTATGATTTTCTTTAAACATTTCAGGTGTCTGGCACAACAGGACTCAGCACAAGATCACCCTGTGAGATCTTGAGTATCAGCTCAGAATGCAGAAACTTCATTTCTACACAAAACGCCACCGCTGACCAGGCAGCGCTTTGCAGTCCCAGCGCTCTCTCAGAGTTTGTTATGTAGACTACACCGGCACTAGGAACCCAATCACGGGGCCCTGCTTCCCACACGATGTGGGTGGCAGAGGCAGCTTGATTAACAGTCTTGGAATGAATGGAGGTTTCTGGCTGTGCCTAATGTGACAGCACAGAGGGCTTGGAAAGACCATCAGTCAGGATGAATAAATAGAAGTGACAGCCATCCTCCAAGCACAAAACAGAGCTCTGAGGGACCTGCAAGTCAACTGATCTGTCCCCAGGAAGCTGAATGTTTCTCTAGCATAAGTAACACAGGAGGGGGAGCAGGATCTCACTCTGCACACAGCAAGTTAGTTTAACACCCTGGCATGGCAGAGAAATTGCAGAACAGCTCATGCTCAGTCCCTTACTTCTAGGCCTCCACGGGAGCACCGCAGGTTTCTCTCTAACGCACTGTCAGCAAATGACAAGCAGGTGGCACAGAAGGACGCTGTATCCACACAAGAGAGAGCATCCCCAAGGCTGCTGCACGTGCGTGCGCACCGCGGACATACGCGGTTACGAACAACGCGACTGGAAGGAACACTCCTACTGCTCAAGAACCAGCCAGGCCACTACCAGGCTACTCTGTGATCACCTGCTGGTGGTTTTACCCCCGGACTGTGTGCACCCAGCTCCAAGCACTGATCTGCTGGCTGGCTCCACCCCAGGTTTGCCTACACTGTTTCCCAAGGATTGTCTCTCAACAGCGTAAAATGTCACCGCAATTCCAAACGAATGAACCCAAAAATCATCCTACAGCAGACAGTGCCAAGGGGACCTGTGCAGAGTTGGGGGCTGGAGAGTCTCCAGCATAATGAGCTGAACCTCCCTACACTCTGATAAAAATTAAGCTTATTTCAAGTTTGGCTGCATTTTAACTGCTGTCCTAAACCAAAGCTGAAGTTCTTTCTGTAGAGCATTTACCAATAAGACGCTATCATTTGGCTAACGACACATACCAGCTCCGAGTTTACAAAACGAAAGAAGTCTTCACAGTCCAACGTGGTTTTCTTTCCTTTTCGACAAGTCAAGATCAGAGTGGATGCAGGGAGCCCTACCAGAATCCTTAGGCAAGGAAAAACACAAACGGAATCCAGGTTACCATCAAGCAGAGAATCAGACTTCGAACTCTCAGGGCATGTGCCTTTGATATTCAGGGGAGTCTGAGAGCATATCAAACGTGAGAGATCTGAAACGTCGCGACAGAAACTGCACAAGGAATTTTTCTAGTTGCCCAGAAAAGAACCTGCATTTCAGTGAGACACACACACCAAAGATATTATCAGAGGCTGAAAAATGGAAACACGCACCTAGATTACAGCAGCAGATAGAGTAATTTAACTACAGCTAAAGCAAGTGGTGGCACTAGGAGCGTTGCTGGCTGTAAACGGAGTCCATGAAGATGTGTGGTCTTTGAGGTCCAGCCTACCAGCAGGGGCAACTCGTAGCCCCAGATGGCACACTGAAACACAGCTAAGTCACGTGGGTACCACGGAATAATTACCTCTTGCACAACTGTTACCGTGACATGTAGTGTCATTTTCACTTGCTGTGGAGTCACCGGGGAGGCAACCCAACGGCGCAGGTACACACCGTAATCGCTCCGACCAGCAGTTTTGTTTGAGGTACTCCCAGCCATCCAGATCTGCATTTACCTTCTGTGCAGCAGCAGCTCCTGCTGCCTCCACAGCTGCTCACCCAATGCAGAGCCGTGTTTTCCATCTTTCAGCCTCTCCCAGAGGATCTCAAACAGGAAATGTCTCTGGGCATCCAAGCAGCCAGAAAGCAGCTTTTGCCTGCACCCCAGCTCCAGCACCATCTCCTAAACAGGGAGGTGGGGAAAAAAACAGTGTTTGTCGGGGGTACACACTAGTTTGCATTCAAACCCTCTATTTCTCTGAAGTAATGAAGAGATCAATAAGAAAAATATCTCTCTCTCTCCATGCCACTGCTCACATCTGAGAACTGAATGTCAGCCTTACAGGCACTGAGGTATCAGGAAATACTTTTGACTGGTGAAATTCAAGGATTGAACATCCAGATACGCATTAAAGTCTGCAATCACCTGCAGCTTGCAGAGAATATCAGGACTGACCGACATCTTCGATTGGCCACGGCTACCCAGGTCCAACCTGAAATTAAGAGACACACTAGGTAACTAACCCCGTGGCCCAGGGGGGATAACACAATTCAAGTAAAGTCAAATGGCTTCAGAGGAACAGAACATTAATGTCCCTTAAATAAGCTGTAGGTGAGAGAGCAATTCTCCTCTAACCCTCCCTCCTTATTTTCCAGCTTCAGCTACTTCCTCACGGGCATTGATGCTTGTCTGGCCAAACAAATCTGAATACAAATTCAACTTAAAGACAGACAGACTAGGGACTCTCTGTGACTTCAAACCCAGACCTCTGTCACCTAAAGCAAGATTCTTATGGAAAGACTGGCGAGTCACGCAGAGCCACCTCCCAGCTTTCACTGCCAGTCAGACCTGTGAGAAGGCAATCACTTCCATAGCGCCATGTCAGGCACGAGCTCACAACTCCTAACTTGCAGGGTCTTTGGCAGAACCATTGATTCTGCAGAAATGCAACTCATGACACACAATACCTTTGTGAGGAATCCAGAATGGTATTGATAATAATGCCACATGCCTTCTCCAGGTCTCCATCGCAGCCACCAGAAGCAGAAGGTGCTGGAAGATACCATTGATAGATAGCCCAATAATGGAAATCCTGTCTGCAATATTGAAAAGGAAAAGACGGGAAGTCTATCACGGTGTTTGAATGGTGCCCTTCCCTTAACGTAAAAGGAAGTTCATGCACCAAGGGAAGATGCCAGCACCCATTAAATACAGACAGAGAGAGAGACATCCACCGGACATCACGTGTCCTGATGTCAGCCATCTCTTGCTTACAGGAATGTGGAGGTTTTGTGAACAGTTATTTGGAAGGACTACACATGCAGGCCAGAGGTTATCTCTGTGAACTTCCTCCAGTTAAAGCACATGCCTCATTCTAGCATTGCTCAAACTCTGGAAAAAACGTAGTTGTCGACAGGCATCTACGTCCCACAGCAGCTTCTTTATTTACTTCCTGATCTTCAATGCATTTCCTTATTTGAGCAGGAAAGACTCTTGAACTATTTCTTTTTTAGCAGGGCCCCTCTGCACTTACCGTTCCGAAGCAGGGAGAATATCCTTCTCAGGGCACACTTCCAGCTCCAACAGAAGCCACTCTCTGAAAGACAACTGGGAAAAGCAACAATTTAGGTAAGAGGGCTGACCAGCAAGGCAAGTAACTTCTGCAGAACAGCCATCTTCATCCCAGCATAAAACCCTCCTTCACGCATACCCAGACACAACCCCGTGCAGATCAAGAGATATGAACCAGGAGACATCAACCCAAGGAAGCTCCTGTACTGTTTCCCTTGCAAGAAATCTAAAGTAAAACCACACTGGCATTCAAAAATTTACTGAAAGCAAGCTTATAAAGCATCTCTCACACACACCCACCCCTTTGACATTTACAAACATGCTCATCATCTTAAAGTCTGGATACCAGAATGAATGTGTTATTAGAAATAAATGCTAAAATGAGCAAAGCACCGCAGTCAGACAGACTGGTATACGCATCAAAGAAAGGTTATAATGCAGAGGTATTTTAGCCTTGTACATCAAGCTAGCCAAGCACAAGGAGTCATTCTAGTAACACGACAAACTCCTCTGCACAAAGGCAAACTGGATTTATATGAACTAGGTTAAAAAAAAAGAAATCCTGTCAAATCAGATACACTGCAAGGATGGTGTAAAGAGAATAGCCGAGATGTTAACCTGCTTCAGAGCAAACAATCCAAGATACACAGCTGGTTGAGGAGAACATTGACATTTAGACAAAGCACTAAAAAAGCAAGTGAGTATTTTCAGTTGTTTGACTCACCGTCACTTCACAGACAGCACACAGTAGGAAGCTAAGGTTATGGACAGGCCTTTTTCTCTACAGTTACTAATCATTTTCTTACTCACACGGTATACCTTGTCAAGCTTTCTGCTTTTGCAATAAGCAGGACACAGAAGCTTTACCTCTAGTTTTTTTATTTCTGCCTTTTCATCACCACTGAGATCTGCAAATAACATTGAGCACATAACCCAGCGCACATGACACCTTCAGCTGCCAGACCGTCTTTTCAGGCATCAAGTTTTTACAAGAAGTGTTTTATCGCCAATAAGGAAATTGCATAGAGCAAATCTGAAAAGTGAGAACTACAGTGTGAACTTAAGTCATGGAAAATATTTATACCTGAAATGCTTTTTCCTTCAAGAGCTCCTGAAAGCGTGCTTGCTTCCATAAACAGAGGCTGGCTCTTCTGTAGTTCAGGGAGGGGCATGACAGGGAACTCCACATTAGGTCAGTTTTAGCCTCCTCACACAGGGTTCCCCGAGCTTCCAAGCACAGCCGTGGCACAAGGTACTGCAGCTAAAACAAAGGCATAAAACCCCTGCACATTTCCATCACAAAAAAAGGCCCAGTGCAGCCTCTGGTTGTGTGAAGCTGCCAAACAAGCAAATACATAAAACAGTAAAGATGTGAGGGTACAAAGATGCATTTTTATAGTTTTCTTTGTACAAGTTCTAGCTGCACGGGAGCGTGCAGTGGGAAACAGAACCAAGACTGATCTTTCCCACAAGTAACAGCAAAACTTTTTTCCTTTTACCTTTTTAACAAGGCTAGGAGGAAGCCAGGCACACAAATCTTCATGAGAACAGGATGAAAACTTGCACAGAAGGTATGACGCTGCTGCAGTGCAAAACCTGAGAGAGAAAAAGCATGAACATCCATCATCTGGTTGGTTCAATCGTATATTTTCCCACTCATGAAAGTCCAAAGTCAAAACAAAGACTGGGTGTTAAAAATTCTTTTAACCAAGATGTCCCAAACCTATTTGCTTTCGGGACCACTTCTATTTACGTGCTCCCAACCACAAGGACATTAATGGCACAAATTTTAGAACCAGAGACTAAACTAAAACCTTTGACAGCATCCAGTCAGCCCTTTCTCCAGCAGGCAGTACAATGGTCAGGACGCTATTTCGCAGGGGACCACCATCAGCCTGTTTCTCTGTGCAGCAGAAACACCTTATGGATACTCCAGAAATCCTCCGCAGGAACACGGGAGCTTTACCAGCATCCGTCCTGTGGCAAATCTAAACCCATCGCCTGGGGAAGAGAGGACGTGGTGGGTGCATGATCTCACCTCAGGCAGAAGGCAAACGACTCTTCTGTCCTGCAGATTAGCAAGCGGTTCCAGTACTCAGAAACAGAAAGGATTTTTTCAGGAACAGGCTGAGAAATCCCAAAATTGGCTTCCACTTCAGGAATTAAAGCTCTGGATTCACTTAAGTGGATCACAAAAGCTGCTAGACCTAAAATATGAGCATCCTTCAGGGAAGGACCCTGCAAGCCAAACAAAGTAAAAAACTGAAGAGACAAACATTTCATTTGTAACAAAACAACCTTTATCAGAAAAAAAACTCAGAATTAAATCAAGTAGCAGAATATTGCTTCTGTCCATTGACTAATTAGTGCAGCGATATCAATTTAGCAGATGAGGCGCACCAGTTACTTTAAACATGTTCTTCCTTACTTGAAATTGTGCAGCTATCTTTGGTTAACCCGCAGCAGAATTTGTACGGTTCTGTAACACAGTAACCTGAAGCAACTAGCTGTAAATTCAGCCCAGCAGAATTTGAAGACTCTCAAGGCTTTTTAGCTTCTACGACAGCCATTGTAGCCTATCAGCCTTTTAATTTCACCCTTGCAGTGTCACGGGCTAAATGAAATAAAGCCAACAGTTCTTTAACAGAAAGCCATCCACTGCTGTACCCCAAATTTGGGGGTCTTTTATTTTTAAAAGGGGTGTACAACTGAATTATTCAGTGTAGAAGCTTAGGAATTAAGCATTCTACTATTTTGCTTTTGGCTTGTTCAAAAGCTTCCTTATTTTAGCTTCTGTTAAAACATATCTCAGAATGCATTAACCTTCTATAGTTTTCTGTAGGAAAACATTCAGATCACATTCCCGAGAGCAAAACTTGCTGAGGCCTACTTGGCCAAAATGAGATTTTTGTTTCGAAGCTTGAAAGCTAGTGAAGTCCCTCCACAGTGCAGTCCAGACAGGTACATGCCCCACAGCTCAGGAAATGGAGCTCGAATAGCCTTCAGCACATATAGCCATGTGATTTGTGGTTGGAAAACTAACCTGATGATAAATAAGCTGGCAGAGCCTGCCCAGAAGGGCAGGCAAGAGATGCCTGTGTCCACACATCATCTTCACAAACAAGGAGAGACATGGTCCCTGCCTGCAGAAGGTGAAAATCACATGCTCATTTTACCGCTTCTTTTTATCCCCAGTACAGGAAGAGGTATTTAAAAATGCTTAAAACACAGTGAACCTGAGCCACACTTGTCTGTAAATACAGGACAATTATCATTCCATTTATAGGCTCAAAGGAAGCATCACTTTTGGAGTGTCTGAACAGAGAACTCCTACAAAGACATGAACTCCACTAGTGCCCTGCCTCATATATTCAATAATGTATAGTCAAAGAGGTATTCCGAGATGACAACAAGGAGAGGAGGAAGCTGCCTGGGGCACAAACACCTTTTTTCCAGACAGAGAGCACAAGGTAAACAGAGGCAGAGCAATAAATAAATGGGATCAAAAAACAAAGCAAGAACAAAAACGAATTAATATGACAAGGTCCTGTTGCAAAACAGGGGAAAGAAGGGAGGGACTTTCCCACCCAGCTGACAGAAAAAACCATCCTCAGGGGAGATCGGATGGGGGGTTGGGTTTAGAAGCAGTTTCCTGGGATGCTCTTGTTCATCACAGCTACTTTTCAGCGCAGGTTTTCAATACAGATTCATCTGCTCCAGGGCAAAACAGTGTAAAAGAGGGCTAAGGACGCAGTGGTTGCCAAAGCATGCTGCACTCCAGAGAGGCAGCCACCTAGTTCAGTACCGTCAGCAGCTGGGATCACAGGCAGCTTGTCAGTTCATTGTTTTTTCCAATAAAGTGATTTTCCGCTGAAACACTGAGGAAGATGGCATTAATAGAGTCCTTCCAGTGGTGAAGGAATGTTACCTCTCCCTCCTCAGACAGGCCAGAATCAGAGACACTTCCAGGGGGAAGAGGGGATGGGAAGTAGGGAGAAGGTGTATCATGCTGCTCTTCCTGCGCCTGCAGCGTTAGACTTCATGCCTCACTCATTTCATCTTGGATATGGCATTAGGGATGAGGGCTGAGGTGCCTGGATCTCCAAACATCACTGAACGTGCCAAAAAGACACCCTGAAGACACATCAGCGCTCGCTGTCAAAAGACAAGCGTTGTCCTCTCCTGATCTTTAGTGTCAACCAGCAAGTAATTCCTGGACAAAAAGAATTTGCTTCATTCCCCACACCCCACCACTGAGCTGAAAATGCCAACCTGAGCACATAGTTTTTGTGAAAAGTCTTTATACGTTGTCACAGAGCACAAAGCAGAGCCAAATGCCACCTTTTTCTGAAGGGATCAGTAACATCAAAGTGCATTAGTTCTCCAATTACAGAAACTCACAGTAAAGCAGCCTGCAATTGCCAGCCTGGCACGGTGGCTATGAACAACTAGAAGGCCCTCCTAGCCCCTGGACAAGTGCTGGGATTCTAATATTAACCAGTTTTGATTTCCCTACTCTCTCTCACTTGCATCTTACCTGTCAGGAGGATTAAAATAGGAAGCAGCTATTAGGTTTTGGCAGAACGATGTCAGCAGAAGATCAACAACCTGGAATAAGAGACACACTGCTAATTCCTAGTTGTTGGGCTGGATATCTAGATCTAGGTTTGCACTGCACATATATTCTGTTTCCCACCATTAAAACAAGGAGACACAGTGGTTCGTGACATTCACAAGTTGTACAGATCCACTAAGAAGAGATGGAAAATGAAACCTGTAACAGCCCAGGAATGATCCCAGCACACAACAAATACCTAGACAAGTCTGGTGAAGAAAGCCTAGCTCATCACAGGATTGCTCTAATAGAATATATCTTTAGATCTCGACACCAGACACCCAACAAATTCCAGGAGGTTAAAACCTATGAATAGACTGCGCAGGGCACAAGAAGGCAGACAAAAGGAGAAGGTATTTCCTGTTCTCCACAGACAATGCAACCTTTCACAGGTACTATCCAGACGCATGTTTACCTACCCAACCCCACTCCTTTCTCACCCCAAGCCAGATGGTACTCACACTCTGATGGCTGGGTTGCAACCTGGGGGCAGAAATGTCGACTTGGATTGGAGAATTCAAAGTAGCAGCTTCATTCTCATCACTGCTGTGACCCAAGACACTTGCAAGTCTGTCAGAAATCACTGCGATCTGTGCTGGGACACCTGCAGGAAGGTAACAGGAGCAGAGGAGAACCAGGACAGAAAGCATGAAAGATTTACAACTCCACACAGCAGGAAGACGAACAAGTGAAATATAATTTATCAGAGCCCAAAGTATTTTATGAAAAGCTTTAATGAGAAAAAAAATGTTAGCTGGAACACAGTGATCACTGTCTTTGTTTTAGAAGACAGCACTATTTTTTCCCCTAACACTATTACCAATGCACATCAAGAACAGTTTTTCACACCAGAAAGAAAACAGCCTTCAAAAGGGAGCCCAAGCCACCAGGCAAGCCCCAGGAATGGGGCTGCCCACCTTGGCAAGGATCAGTGAGGCACCAAGTGACGAGCATCACAGAGATGGAGACCTGATGTTCCACACTCAAGCATGGGAAATACATCAGACATTAAAACATATATCTATATATATATATATATGCGTAGCTGGAAGGATTATACAGATCTGAAAGATTACCACTGGCAAGTAACTACTGCTGCTGCTTTGGCTAGGACCAGCCACGTTTTATTAACGCAGCTTTTGCAACAGTCAGCTATGGGCAGTTATGACTTGCCTTCCTCCATACCTTCGTATTTAGCCTGGTCCACAATCAGCACCCTTAGTTCAGCCAGTTCAGCCTTCAGCTGCTCCACAGGCTCTTTGGAATGGCTGGTCTCTACTTTTGATTCACCTGGACAAGTCAGAGAGAAACACAACGCATTATCCATACCTTTGTGCATTACATCAGTTCATAAAATGCATTCAGCAATCTCTGCTTATAATTTCTGTCAAAGCAGCATTTACTTTTCTGTAAGCTATAACAGATGCCCAAACTGTCAATCTGCCACATATAGAGCTTTGTTTTTACATTGAGAATGTATTACTTGATTAATTATTTATGATTTTATGCCTAGTTGCAGAAAGGAATTCAGTTTTTAAAAGACAAAAGGCAAAAGAGTTCTCCTTTCAGTTTTTTTCCCCCACTTGCTTTAGCTCTCTGCCCCTCACAGAAACATTTGCTGTCCTCAAAAGACTGGAACCTGTCTCAAAACAGAGACAGACATTACAGCGCGAATACTGCGTCATCAGCTTCTCCTCAAGCCCAACACCGCGCACCATCTCCAGATGTTATGTGTTACTCTGTTCTGGTTTTTGTGGAGAAGAAGAAATAAAAGGAAATTCCTTTTACCACTAGAAAGTGAGTGCCACCAGCAACAAGCTGCCACAGCACAGCCTCAAAAACCACCCAGGCAGTTTGTTAGGCAGGAACAGCGTCTTGTACACGGGCCAAATGAGCAAGAGAAGTAAATAACAAAGGCTAAAATTAATGCTTGTTATACACACACTGTAAAGCAACAAGGTGTTAGAAGACTGCGGAGTCACCTTTCTGTGCAAAGGTGAGCACTAACGAACAGGGGAACAGGGCAGGCTTAGAGCTGACCAGTACTCAAGAGTCCTGCCCTAAATGCAGTCTCTGAGCAAGAGCCCCGGGGACGGGATTAGGATGCAGGGGATGCAGATCAGGCTGATCAGGATGCAGGGGATGCAGAGCAGGCTGTGCCACAAGAGGTCACCGGCAATTCAAGCGCTCCTGCACAGAGCTCAGGGCCCACTGGGATCCTGCCGATCCTGACAGGCAGTGATGCTTCAGCCCTGCCGGTTGCCAGGACAACCACCGCAGCCAGACGGCTGCACATCTGCGCTTCCCCGGCACTGCTTTGTCACGCCTCTCCAGCTACAGCATCTCCAGAAGGCTTCAAACACCCAGAGTGCCCCAGTAGGAGTCAAGTACAGATGCGTCTCTACACACAGGGTACTCCTCTCTGCCGCACTCTTGGAATGATGTCTGCTCTCTAGCCTGAGCTTTTCATTTCATATAAACCTGTGGTGAGGATGTTGCCAATCTTAAGATGCATTTGAAACGCCCACTTGCTGAAAGAGATAGGAGAGCTCATGAAATACCTATTACACCAACACACACCGCACCAGCAACGTCGTTACAGTGATGGGACCCAAAATGAGCGGGGCCCTGCCACCCAAACACATGTAAACCACGTGCTGCAATCCTCCTACTGCTGGCTCCTTTCCCAGCCCCTCCTGCTTCCCCAGATCTCAGTCGCACACCATAGTCCGTTCCTAAAAGGGGAGGATGGTGCCTTCAGACAGCACAAGAGCCATTACACAAGGGCTCAACACGGCAGGTTCGCACCCCAGGCCAGCCGGAGCCGAGCAGCATTCAAGCCACAAATGCAGATTCACATGGATGTATTTGAGCTAGATTTAAATCAGCTGGCTCAGGCATCATCTGCAGCCTCAGCACAGCACAGAGCTCCACACCGGCTGCAAAAATCCCGCCCAGGCAGGACAGGCAAAGTCGTCACAAGAGTAGCTATTTACTACCTCAGTAAGACATAAAGAACGTACAGATATTTACATACGATGACGTAGTCGCTGTAACTTTTTGAAAATTTTCAATGAAGGAGGGCATCAACAGAAATTTTAACTTTTCTTCAAACTGGTCCACAAGTAAATGCTATATATTTTACCTTGTAACATTTTCTCTTTCATAGCACGACAGGCTTGCGTATATGTGGAGTACAAGTTTGATGGTATTTTATCAGCTCTATAATAAAAAAAGAATTTATTATACCACATAACCACACTCAAACTTCAGCTTTATTAAATATAAACATAAAGAGCTATGCTATGAACTGTAATTACAGAGGCTCCAAAGCATACAGAGCATCTGCAGTGTTTTTTAATCATCATCTAAGGGCCAGAAATTTATATCCAAGGCTTTCATAGCAAGTATTATACATGTGTAACACACACTCCACAAAAATAACACTATATATATTACATCTGTGCATTAATACCTATTTCACATATAGTACGTGTCTAAGATCACAGAAGAGTGTCACTTCTGTGACATGCAGTATTCACACATCTAAAACACCACTGTGACAGAGACCAAGGTCTGACCTCCAACGCCTGCTCAGCAGGCACTCCATACTAAAAATGTATTACGCGAGCCTCCCTAGAACACAGCTGCTTCTCTTACAACTTTAATTTAAAAAAAAATGATCCAATCTGTTTCAGAGTCAGACTGGAATGGCAAGGCAGGACCAAACGCCTCACTTGTTGGCAGTGTTGCAAACATTTTTCCTTCATGATGGGTTACAGAGGAATTACTGGTTTTTAAACAAAGCTGCTCCTGCAATGCAGAAAAGCGCTTTGAAACATGCACACAGGACAAGCTTGAGTTCTGAGAGGGGCTGTGTTCTCCTGGGACGTTATCCTGGTGTCCCTTAAGAACAGCTCATAAGGCATTCACACACATTAAAGTTTCATCATCCCTTTCTCCCATATCCTCGCCCAAAGAGAGGAGAGCTTTTCACAGGGGGCTCATCTCCCCGGTGAAATTTTATTTTCAGCAGTATCCTCCAAAGTTTGCATAAAAATATATCTGGCCTGCAGTCAGAGGGCTGCACGGGACTCCTTCTAGGTAATGGCCTTAGAGTGGCTAGAGGACTAATTACGGAACGGAAGACATTGGCTGATACAGATAACCTATCCCATCCACAACCTGCAAGCCACAAGCCTGGCCACGAAGCCCTGCCAAGAGGGTTAGCCAACACGCAGCAAACAAGGTGTCAAAGCCTCCAATAATCTGATGTAAAGTCAATTGTTCTTAAGATACAGTCCAGAAGTACAGAAAATAACACTGAGAAGTCTCAATACCTCTTTAAAGAATCTATAAAAGCCATGCACACATCCGGGGTTTTGGGGAGCTGCAACAGAAAGACAGACAGGTTAGGCACAAATTACCTGTCTACAAACACACTCCAAGTGGGAGGATCAAAACAAAAAAGCTAAAACCAAATACTCACCACACGTGGCCTGAGCAAAGCAGGAAGGAACCAGGAAGTATAATATGGTCGCCTGAAAATACTGAGACAGAAAATAAACACAGCAAAATGTTAACAATGTCGAAGCTGCAAAGTGCCACTTCATTACCTCCAGAATTAATTTGGCTCCTGCAAATAAGAAACATTCATGCTAACGTGAATAACCACAGACGAGTCAAGCTCAGATTAGCCAATAGTTCTTAGTTTCTTTAATTTTGCTTTTTCTTTCTTGTAACAACTGTGGACTTCTATTGCAGGTCTGCATGTGCCTTTTCACTCTCTGCACAAATAACCTCTACTTAGATGACTGCTGAGGAAGTGGATAACTTGGGAAGAATTTCCCAAAGCCTCCTTTGCTCACATCCTCAGTTTTTCTTGTTTTGTTATTTTGATTCGGACTTGGCTTTTGTTATTATTATAGTTAAAAACAAGAAGAGTTGAGAAGCACACAGTACCTGGCTTCTATCACAGATGTTGGGATCTTCCTTGTGTTTTCAAATATCTGAAGGGCCTTTTCAACATCACGAAGCGCCTGGCCCTGGGGCTGGCTCACACAAGTAACAATGAGAGAAAGATGTTGTGAGAAATCAAGGATGATGACAGTCTTCCCTGCTTGTTCTGCCAGGGTTAGTAACAGTTGTCTGTCCTGTGAAGGGAAGTGACTGAACAAATGCAATTGAATAACAAGAACTACCTGACAGGCAGAGTAACACGGCGGGATGGAGGAACCCTCAGCCTGCCTCGACAGGGCTGCTATTTGTAACAGCAATTCTGCGTCAGCCCAGAGGTCTGTGTAGCTCTGTACACACCACCTACAGCAACTGCAGCAGCTACTCCTGCTTAACATCACATCGTTTATTCAATTGTCCTCCACGGGGACATCATCTTTTCTATTCTGAATTTGTTTTATTGTTATTCTATTTTACTTCAGACACTTGGAATTGAGGCCCGTAATCTTTGCTTCCAGCCTATGCTACAACACTCCAGGCAGAGGGACTGCTGCCCCAGGCTTCCCTTGTTTGAGCCATAAGACACCTTCAGACCACAACAGCCTGGGCCAGTTTCTCAGCTGGCAAACAGATCAGACTGGGAAGAAATGTAATGAAATCTTCACTTACAACTTTCAGTTCACCACAGGACTAGATTTCATTGCAGTACATTCAACTACCCTGTCACCAGCCTGTATTTCACCTACTCCAGCCAACTGACTGTATAAAGGAGCCCTCTAGTCTGCCATACTTGTGGTCAAAACAGAGGAAGGAGCAGAGCCAAATGCTTCCTTATCAGTTACTGTTGTTGCTCAAAACTTATCATGAACCACAGCGTGAAACTGCAGACTGTAGATTCCCTCCCCTAATCTCCTTTAAATATGAACACTTCGAACACAACACCAAACAGACGACATGCTATACTGAAAAGAATCGAGATGCATGTAAAATGCTTTCCTATGTGATCAAATCACTGGGAGCAAACCCACAGATGGAAGCGTCACCATTGTAACAAACTGGTCAATCGGCAGAGCTAACCAGTTCCCTGCAAACCTGTGCTCTGCACCCCCACACCATAAAACACCTTTTATTTTCTATGCCCCACAGTACAGGATGGGCAAGAGGTAGCCAGCACCTTCCTGCTTCAGGCAGTGGGTGCTGACTGGATGTCTAATGGAGGTGCTGCTTGGCCAGCAGACGGCTGGCTAATTGTCGAGTTCCTCTGCAGCCTCGTCACGGAATACTCATCACTGTTTGTTTGTCCTCTGCACAAGCCTAGTTTTCATGAAATCTGGGGAGAATCTGCATATTTACAGCCACTAACCCTTCTGTCTTAAAGATGGAGAGGATTTGACAGCTTGCTCAAACTTGGTAGAAATGGCAGAGAGGCTGATAACCTAAGCTCTTTTCCAGAGGAAAAGGGGCATGACTGATGCGAAAGCTGCCCAGCAGTACCTGCACAGATTCATCTGCGGAAGACAAGTCTTCGTAGAGCCCCATGTCTTCTATAGCAACCTGTGTGAGGTTACAGAGAGACGCACAGGGTCACAACACAGCTAATATTTTGACAGATCCAGAAGGAAGTCTCTTCAAAGAGACAATTTTTACTAACCTTGAGGTCGGCCAGTCTGGTTTTAGCCAGAGTGATGTACTCCAAGAGAATAGACCGATGTTTTGTTGGCACAAAAGGTGGGTACATTATATGGACCTGAAAAACGAAAGTCATAATAAGATTTGTCATTTTTACAGGAAAATAGTATAAAATTCTGGTTAATGTTTGCAGTCATTTACCTCAAATACTCCTCAAAGAAGTTGTTATTGCGTGTTTAATCCATTTTCATTGCAATTGACATGCAATTTTCCCCAACAACAGCCACCTAATAAGATCACTGAAGTGCTTAAATTTAACTCCATGGAAGGAATTCTCCTTCTTGTCAAGTAAATAAAAGAATCTTGTACTTCCTTATTTCAGGAAGAAAAGGTTTTGAATAATGTATGAGAAGTAACGCAGTAACTATAACATCATCAATAATACGCTGAACCTAGTCAAAGGCACAAGGATGTTCACTTTGGAAGCAGTTCTGTATCAGTCTTTAGAAAACCATCTGTTAGCATCTTCTCACCTTCAAGTATGGTGCTGCTTCAAAGGGCACTAGCTCTGACAAGAACTCGAAGAGGAAGACCAGAGCTTTCTTACTGCTCCCGTGGTGACCACCAGCATTCCCAAAGGAAGCCTGAAACGGGGGAAAAATGCAGCCTTTCAGTGTGGAGAGAACCCTCATTGCAGCAATGCGGTATCTCAGCGCACAAATCCCAGACATCCGTTACAGGTATCTGTTTTCTGTCAAGAGAATCTCTCTGGAGAAGTCTCCAAAGTTTACAGAAGCCTCTAAAGGAAGTTTCCTTTGAGTTTCTTTGTCCAGTTTCCAGGAAGCCTGCCATGTCATGCTCAAAGTTCATTCTGATGTGCTACCATGAGGACAAGGCAACACCAAAATGCACCAATGGACTGAGATTCATGAGGGAACCACAAACCTGCCAGTTTCTACACAGCTTTATCTGCGCATTATAAGGAAATTAAGCCAGTCTGAGACTATACAGAACATAACCAGTTTACCTTTTGATACATCCTGAACACTCTGTCAGCAAAGGCTGAGCTTAGATTTGCAGACTCATACAAAGGAATTTACAGGTTTCAATTATGTGGAGATTTGCATACCTAAAATACCTACATGTTTACAATTGAAAGCTAACAACCAATTATCTGTAAGGTCAAACACAACAATTACAGCGGCATGCAAACATCCAGGAAATAAGAACGCTTCATCTGCAATAACCTACAACTTACGCAATAACAACAGTGTAGGTTATCAAGACACTGAAATACATCCAAGATTATGATTATAACAGGAATTACATGTCTGCATTCCTGGTAAATAACTAGAGAAGGCAAGATGGACTTAAAAGATGAAAGAAGAGAAGGCCAGAGAAAGCCAAATACATACGTTCTTTGCAGACACAAAGGCAGTAATAAATATTAAATCATTCCTAATACCAATATAATCACTTGTTGCTCTTTCTTTCCCTGCCACTCTAATTCCTGGCTATCTTGTCTGAAACTAGGCTGTGGCTGTGCAGCAGAACATTCCTTACGCCCAGGTTTCTCACATACTTAAAACAAAGATTACCAGTCAGGCCTCATTTAGTCTTACCTTAAACCATTCAGAGTAAGGCATGAACACAGCAGGGCCCTCTAGAGCAGCCTGACGAGCTATCAGGAAGGCAGTGATCATATTTTCCATATCATAATTCTCAAAGGCCTTTATCAGGAGATGGCTCAGTAGATCTAGAAACATAAAACAATAATCTCAAACTTTGCTCTTGACAACTGTGCTGTAATATTCTACAGTAAATGAACACAAATCTCTGTGATAAAACATCTGCCACAAAGAAAGATGTGCATTGCAGCTGAGGGAGCCTCTGGGACTCGCTTATATTTTTTTCATGCACTTTCAACAGTTAAATACTCCAGAATTTCAACCTGCAAGAACTGCAGGAAGTCCAGCAATGAGATAATCAGTAAGAAACTTCAACAAACAAGGTCTGCTGGCAGAGGTGAGATAAAAGAGCTAAGCTTCAGTAATCACTACTCCAATTAATATAAGGCAATTATCAAATGACCGCTTTTAGCTGTCCATTAAGTTTGAGAAGCATCAGGCACAAGGTCTGGCATTCATGTCGCCGCTGACGCGGAATGTCTGCACAGAAAAGCAGATTTTCTGCTGTTCTTTTCCATGCAGGAATCTCAAAACAGCAACTATGAATGACTATGCTGCTACACCAGTCGGCATGGTTTCCCTGCAGTACCTGAGGAGCAACAAGCAGACATTACCTTGCAGGCTTGCCGATACCCACTTACCTTTGAAGAGCTGCTCAGCCTCAGCCTGACAGACTACCAGCGTGGAGACACAGGAGAGGACATGCTGCCAGTTCACTTCGCGAGTCTCCAGGACCTGCTGCAGCTGGCAGATTGACTCCTTCACGCTGAAGGCCACAAACAGCTGTAGAGTGACAGCAATTCATTTTAGCCATGACATACAGCCACCCGTAAGAGTGAAACACACTGTCAGTATTAACATGCAGATGTCTTTTGTGTGACTTCTGGAAAAGCTTTCCTGCGTGCACGTTTTGCATCAGCCTTCCAGGGCCAGGTATCATTCTGGCTTGGAACCAGCATTGGCCAAAATAAACCATAATACTGCAATTCTTTCAGAAGTCGTGGCATATTCTGTAACAGTAAAACCTCACATCTTCAATTATTATCTTTGTTCTCATTAAGAGCTTTGCACAAAAGTCCCTGTAGTAGTTTTTCTTCATGCTTCACCCTGCCTACAATTCCTGGCAGATGGTTCAGGTTCCGCGACTGGAATGCACTATTTTTAAATAATCTCATTTCAGATATTTCAGTGAATATAAACCCGACATAGTAAAGTTCTCTTTGCAAAACCAGGAAGAACATACTTTGCGATACAAGGTAGTGAGCAGCGAACAAGTTCTTGTAAAGCTCCACTCTTTCTGCATATGGATGGCATCAGATACTGTACCCAGAAAAAGAAAATAGTTTACTCTTCAGCAACAGATTTTAGAATCCACCCAAAACACGCAACTCAACCACACAAGACTTCCCTTTGGCTTCGACAGCCAGATACATTAAAACCTGCCTGCTGAAATCCTCTCTCCTCCATTAATCTTTGGAACACAGACTGTGGCCACAAGGACCGTGACATTTAACTACAGCACTGTCACCTCGGAGCTGTTCTTGAGATCACGCATTCGTAGGCCAACATAATGCATGCAGAGAGAACCAGCAAGGAATCATCTTTTTCCTCAGTAACCTCTTTCAGCTGAAAGCCAGCAATGATACAGCTCTCCCATACAACAGGTAAGCAGCTCTAGATCACAGCCCAGACTGATTTTACCAGAGATTTTGTAGCCCAAACATACTTCTTCCTAAAAGTATGGGAGAAGCTTCGCAATTACTGATCACGGACTAGAAGCCTTCCTGCCTTTATCTCTAATCTAGCAAAAGAAACACCCAGTCAGCTGAGAAAGGCCATGTCTTGTGCTTAAACTCAAACACGCACACAGGGACCGGACTAATTTAGCCCCAAGTGCTCTCTGCAGCACCACCTCTCCCACCCAGCTTCTCCTTTAGCCAGAACTACTCCCAGATGCCAGAGCTCTCCCATGTCTGCTGTGAAGGCTGCTATTAGACGTTACTCCAAATATCTGTTCACGAGCCATTGGCATAGCCCCGGGGAAAGAGCTGGGGAGTCCGGCAGCTTCTCTGGCTCTGGGTCCTCCAGGCTGGACTCCATCCAGCAAGGCCTGGGTGGGATGGAGCTCCTGACACACAGTAACACACTGGGGAGACACTCACTCCTCCCTGCCTATTCCTACCTTTCAACAATGGGTTGTAGGTAAGAACCTCGGTCAGGGTGTGTCTAAAGAACTGCTGCAAGGAATCCGGATGAACCGCACTTTTGTAAACTGACACACTGAACACATTCAGCCTACAAATGAGAAGGAAACATTCAGAAACAATGCACAGGAAGTATGATCAACCAGGTACTGATTAGGATGAATAACTCATTCTTCTTCTACATCTACCTTATCAAATTGCCAGGGATATATACCTTCTATTTTTCAAAAAACTATTGGTTACTTAGCATTACATAGCATTAGATTTACAAACTTGAATCAACGTATACGCCTGCACAGGACAGGACTGGCTTGGCAAGTACGAAGTTGTTAGACAAAATGGGTTTGGAAGCAGGAGTTGGAGAAGACCTCCAACTGAAGAAGGACGCCTTCTAATTGTTACTGTTCAGAAGCAGAGTGAGAAAACTTCACAAGGAAAAGTCGCTACATACCAAGAGGGTGCTCCAAGATTGGTTCCAACACTGTCAGAACACCCTTTCCCACCTGACGCTTATCTTTCTACCTGCATTTTTACTTGCACGTATTTTATTCGAGAGGAGAATACTAAACATAAGTAGCACGGGGTGGGGAACATTCCCCCTGTTTCACTAACAAGTGCAACAGTGGATAGAAACCTCCTCCCGACATTCTTCCAGAGAACAGCATTTCTTACCAGAACCTCATAGCTTGCAACGTGGAAACATCTTCCTGCTTCTCTTTACCAACCACATCAAGCACCCCTGTACCCCAAAGCAGAGACACAAAAACGCAATGAGAGAAACGGAAGAAACCATGACACTAAACAACACAGGAACGAACTGGAACAAGCAATTTGTGCACCTTTAAGAAGGTGACCCCATTAGGGAAATGCGTAGAAGCCATTCAGCAGCATTAAATTTCTACAGATTTTTTTCAAGTGTGACACAGAGACTCAAAAACTATTAACACTAACCTTGAACCAATTTAAAAACATTCCCAAGAATGTGCTAATAATTAAACCCTCTAAAAATGCACATAAATTAGTATTTAATTTCCAAACCCAATCCTAACTGTGCAGTGCATCTGTGAGTGCGAACGCTGCAACAGAGAAAAGTCTGTCTGGAGGCAGGGATTTGCACAAGGGGGCTCTGAATTAACAACCCCTGGAAAAACGGTCTTAACCACCCCCATCAAACAAAGAGCATGTGGCTCCTAGTGCCACATCTGTAACAGCAGTGGGACTTCATGTTATATTAGCTTAGCAGAAATTCCTTCAAAACCTAGATCTGCCCCAAAATGACTGGTAGAGGTCAAACAGGTTGGCAGCTTGCATAGCATGTCATCTTGACCATCAGCCTATGCCACTCAAAGCCCACATACTGAGACCCTTTGCTTTACAGCCTGCTTGCAGCAGTAGTTTTTGTTTCTTGTCCCATTCTACCTTCAAAAGCCTCCCCTCTTAACAGGTAATACTGAGGTGGAGCAGCAAAACAGGCCTCCCTCACATGCCTTGCATAAGGCAGTCCACAGTGTTAGCATGTAATACTCTCCTCCCCTGCTGAGGAATACTTCAAGGTTAAGTAGGGGAGAATAGAGGAAAGCAGATAAACTGTACTTATCCTCAGGCACAGGAGTTCAATATAGCAAGATCATTTCTATGAAGCACAGTGCTCCCCATGCTACTACGCTCAGTCTGTCCTTCTCCTCCTGTGAAGGTCTTCATTAATAGTGAATTATTTTACATACAAAATTCTGATGTTCTTCAAAGCAGCTGAGTAGTTAAGTGAAAGGCCTCAAAGGTGACCCAAAAGTATACAATAACAAAAATATATAAAACTCATTTAATACATTTTCAGACACAGAGACTACAAGTCAGCCCGCGGCAGCGCAGGCTGCACCAACGTGAAGGTCAAATGAAGAGCAGGTTAGCACAGACTCCTGCCTGACTGCCAGCAGCCTGCTGCTCTTCCTCCAAAATCCCCCTAGTCCTGCGTTTATAAGGGTTATTTTTCAAGTACTGACACTGCTGAAGGGCCACCTGAGAAGGGACTCATACATATTAAATAATAAAGCACTTCTCTTACAGCTTTCCCTTTTTAGAACGACTCCGCAAGGTCTGTAAGGCATCTCTGTCTACAGACCGTGCTCCCTGCGAGACACGGGGCGAGGGATCAGGCTGGCAGTGCCCATGGGGAGAGATGCAGAAGGGCAGGAGCAGTCCTGACGTTGTGTCCGGGTTTTCAGTCACCTTTTAGCAGAGGAAAAGCACTAGCCTCTGCAGCAGCACTCAGCACGTTGCTGAAACATGCCAGCAAGAGCAGTGGTAAAGCGCTGTCACTAAGGAGACAGGAAAGTAACAGCAGTTGCACAGCCAGATTATACGCTGGTGTGGGGCACGTGAGGAGGTGCGAGTGAACGCTTCCTCTGCTGTACAGCAGATACAGCAACTTACCGTGACGATCATCTGTGACACAAGACAAAAATAACCCTCCTGTGTTTAGCCTTTCTGCGTCAGGATTTGCAATGCAAATCAAGCACTACCTGGGTGTCTCAGCAACAGGACTGCCCAGGCCAGAACAGACGCGTTGTCCATGGGACAGGTCTCAAAGGCTGACCGTTGAAAGGCTACACACGTACTTTAGATGTTTTTGCTCAGCATTAAAAAAAAAAAGGTTTCACAAAACATTAGTCTGCAATTTCAAACCACGAACCAGCAAAATAGCTTACTTGCACATAACTGTAAATTCAAAGATTAATTTACTAAGCAGAAAAAATTCGCTTAGCTTAACCTCTGTGCTACAACAGACTGGATTGCTTCCAATCAGACTTGTTCAAAACCAGCTCGGATATCAACGTGATGCTGCAGCTGGGAGCATCAAAATGAACTAGCATAAAAAGCAAGAAATTATCTGCGGCATTAGAAGACACATTACAAGAGTGAAAGGGAAAACAGAGACACATAATATCAGTGATATAAATATTATGCACAACAGTGGAAAGGCATCCTTAGAGATTTAGCCAAGTCCTTAGAGATTTAGCAATGAACAAGGAAGGTTAGTCTAGCAAACAGCAGTGGCTACACAAAGCTAGGAATCACAAAAACACTTACATGTCAACATTCTTTGTAAGACAGCCTGACAGATCTGTTCAAAATTGACAAATCAAGACCATTTAGAATTTAAAAGAGCTACGGTTATATGCAGAAAAAGTAAATTGACTCGAAGAAAGAGTTTTGTCCCTCTTAATGTAAAGCTTAACTTTTACCTCAGGCTTTATGGTGGGATAGATACAATAGACAGAAGAGCAAGCATTTCCTATGCTTCCCAGCATTCCATGACTCACATTCAAATGGAAAAGAGCAATCAAGGTGAAACCAAGGAAGCTTAAAAAGCCCTTGACACCTCACCTTGGAGAAACTCTCCATTAAAAGAGACTTTGTTCTGGTTTCGCCATTTCCTCCTCACCCACACCCACTCCCGCACCTGGACCACCACCCTTTCTTTGTTGCTCTAAGCTCACATTCATTTATGCAGCAAGGCACAGAGGTATGTAATGGAACTACTTTTTTAAATAACTGTCTGTAAATAGGTTCATTTTGTCCTTACATAGGGGACCTTCTTGAATTCCAACTTCCTTCCCAGTTCTGAAGTTTGCCCAAAGCCATTCTGCAGAAATAGCATTGCAAAGTCTGCAAACCGAGAAGGAATTAGTGCTTCAGCATAAGATAAAAATCTTTCAATAAAGATCACTTGCTCTTTCCGCCTCCCCATCTCAGCCTCCCAATAGGACTAGCGTCTGAAAAGCCTCATTCACTACACAGCAGTCAACGGGAATCATTTATTTTCTTGGAGTAAAATTACTCCCAGGCAAAAGGACCTAGAACAATGGATGGCAAGGAGCACTGAAACCTAAAGGACTATAAAGACCAAAGCATTTACAGGTTTTCTGCTCCATTGCCATTGCAGGACTCATATGGGTTGTGCCTGACCAACTGCACTGGTCCAAAGGTCTGACTACAGCCCTTCAAATTGTGTAGCGATTTTTTTCTGAACAAAACCACAAAATAATAATAGAAAATGACGGGGGGAAATGGAAATATTAAATATTTCTGTCCAAAATATGTCAGTTTGCAGGAGTGTCACGCTCTCACTCTATCACTCCTGGCCCCATACACCTTGCAATTACACTTTCTTGTGATACTATAACTCAAACGGATGCAGAAACTCAAACCAATTATCTTAAGGGAAAAAAAAATTGTTACATTCTTCAAATATAAAACCAAATTTGCCTCACTGACATGAAGTAAGAAAATGGCAAGAGAGGCCTCTGCTCTTACACCTCCAAGCTTTTGACTGGCACACACGAGGGCCACAGGGGCTGCTGCCCAGCCACTCCACCGCGGCAGGGGTGGCCGGGTTGCTGAGAACAAACAAAACCACATTCAGTTCAATCCCTCCTACTTTTTGTAACGCTTGGGTTTTTGCTCCACCACCCGCTTGGACTCAGTAAGGAACCATCTGTGTGGAACTCTGCCCTGTATGCAGCATTTCATTTCTTTAATTTGGACCAGAAAGAGCTTTATTTGCTTTGTAAAGAGATTCCACAACAAACATATCCAAAGGAAAAAATACATGTAAAGTTGTGTGTTGAAGTATTTCCTCAACTAACATTAAAGTACTTCGATTTAAAAAGTTAGACTTCAGTCCTTATTTCTAACATACTTGAATGCTCTTAATCTATCCCTTTTGTTTCCTTAAATTTGAAGTACAGGAGGCACTGAAGGCGTTTTTCCTATGCCTTTAACAGACAAGTAAACCAATATCAAAAGCCTAAAAAGGTCGCTGTAACGTTCCTTTGACACCGTAAGAAAACAACCTGAACCTCACCAAGGATAACTGGTTTTAGTTGTTAGCTCTGTATTGGGGGAGAAATAAATTCTTGGAATTCTGGTGATTAACTCTGCCAAACCTCACTAAAATGTAAGGTTTTGTGAAGACAGAAGTGCACAGCTTTGCGTTGCAGCTGATTTGGCAGCCATCAGACAACGAGCCACTACACCTTAAACTGAGCTAGTCAACCCAGAGTAACCTCTCAAACCCAGGGTAACTACTTAAATCCTGCTGATCTGATAATTTGCCAGCATCTGACTATATTCTTAGTCTAGAATACTCATGACTAATCCCCGATTACATTTCGGTAGGCTTTAAGAGATTAAATACATCTGCAAACCTCTAAACCTCTGCTCACCTCTCCAGCAGCTCTCCCAGTCCAACGATGTCACTGCTGTGCAGGTGCCACACAGCTTCCAGCACTGGAGGGTCCTAACGAGATGTCACAGTAAGGTCACAGTCTGCATTTTGCAGTCAACACTTCACTAACGTAAACTACCTACGAAAAATAAAACTAAGTTCATTTATTCAAACTATCCAGAACTTACTAAAATTTAAAAACAACAACATAGGAAATATCAGATGAGGAAAGATTATATTTGATTTTTCCTTCCTACAAATTTTGAATGGTTTAGGGTTGTAGATGCATCATCACTTTAAATTTTCATGGTCAAGGAATAAATATATCCATCTTTGGCCCCCGGAATAATGCCAATGCTGCATATTCAAAGGAGCAGTGGGTATCCCAGAAAACAGGTAACACCACTAGGTTTCAAGTCTTGTTAATTCAGATCTAGCAACAGATGAGAGAATTATCGCTTAGCCTATTAACCGTTTATTAGTCTCCGTGAAGCAAGTTTGCTGCTCTCAAATCCATTTCCCAATAGGAGACTACAGAAGGAGACACTGCAACCGTACAAGCAGAGAAGCCGAAGAACGCAGAGGAGAAACCAACACCACTCGGGCAGTCCTGCTCCTAAACGCCAGGCTCGCCGTCAGCAAAATCGGCACTAGGCATCGCTGCTCTGCAGATGAAACTGCCGCCCTTCGTGCCTCCCCACAACATCCCTTCCAGCCCCATCAGACATGGTGTGTCCTCGAGAGCGCCCTGTGCCAACAAAACAGTTCTCCTGGGTGCACCTGGTAGGGAGAAAGGTGCGGCAGCAACTTCTGCTCGTTCTAGCCTCCGTACAGAAACACTCCAAGCCAGAAACAAAATCTTCGCACCTTGCGAAGGAAGAGGTACTTGGGAGTCTGGGGCAGACAAGCCATTCCAGAGAAAAAAACGCACGAGCTTTCTGCAGCGACCAGCAGCTGCCTCGTAGCATGACCCTAGACTCGCCCACATACTTTGTCTTCGACAACCTAATTCTTTACTGTAACAATCTCAATTACACAGCAGCACTTGATCTCCATGTCCACCTGAGAATGAGGAGATCTTAATCTGCCTACAAAACACACTGGATTCTATTTTCAGCCCAGGATCGGATATTTGAGACTAGAGCATGCCTCTTTATCCTGGCAGATCAGCCTCTTCCTTCTTTCCCACCAGAGCAGCAAGCAACCAAAACTGTGCCACTCACAAAAAGGCCTTAACTCCACTTAGAGCATCACTTATCTTAAGAAAACAAACGACCCAAATGAAATCAAGACAACGCATTTGTGAAGCAATGCAACCTGTTCTCTGTTATCCTATTCACCATTCCCAGGTAAATGGAGCAGAGAACCAGAATTCCAAAGACACACTGAATATTGCTGGCAAAGCACACAAAGGACTTCAGGGGATGTGCCACCCCACAGCCAGCTGGCAGCTTCTGCACTGTCTGGTTACGATCTGGATTGCTTAGCCCAGACAGCAAACCTACGTGCCACTGATGAAGCTAAATAGGAAAGAAAATGATACCCCCAAAGCTTCTGTTAACTGCTGTGTCACCTCATGAGTTTAACCCCATTACCACGCTGTAACTCCAGGCACCGTATGGCCGTGCCTTCCTAGCTGGTTCCCAGTGAGAACCAGCCGTGCCGAGTACAAATGGAAATGGTTAAACATCTCCTTCGGAGAGGCAATGAGTGCTGCTTGCCTGGCTCCCTAAAAACCAACAATCACCAAGATGCTGCCAGCTCCTCAGAAGTGGCCATGCAATTTTTCTAATTCACCTACTTCCAAACATCTACTAAGTCCTCTTCAAAAAAAGCAAATCTGCTACAGAGGCAAGGAAGCTCCCAGTGAACTAGCTTCAAAATAAACAAACAAAAAACCCTCCACTGGGTTATTGGGTGCTGATTCTGGGGATAATTCCGGTTATGCTTTTGAAAGGTCGAAAGACCACAGTTGTTCTCAGGAGGAGTTCTCGACTGCAGTTGACCTGAGCAGGGATGAGCTGTGGCAAGACTGCTCTAGGTCACCAAAAAACCCGAGGGAAACTGAACAGAAATCGCAGCACTCCGCTCGTCCATTGAACAGTCATCCCTGGCCTTCACGGGAGACGAGGGTTGAAAACACGCTACCACATCCCACAGATGAAGTCTAAGTGGACTCTAACACGGCAACGTTTCTCCGCAAGTTCTTACCTTCATTTTCCACATTTCTTGACAGAAGAGTGAGCGACAGAACACATTGCTCGCCAGCAAATCCTTGACCGTTTGAAGCAAGCAAGACAACCTCTTCTGGAATCACCCCAGAAATGAAGCAGAAATAATTGCCTTTGTAAATAACACATTATTAGAAAAACAATTTGTTGCTTTTCCCCATTTACTGCTTTTCAAAGGCTTGAATGAATGGTGGAGAGAATTCATGAGAAAGGCCCAAACTTTTAATTGTTAAAGCTGAACTAAAGGCAGCTGCACTGACAGCAGCAGCACCTGACAGCTCCTCGGAGGTGACCTAAGCCAGCAGCCACGGCACAGCTTTCGTACAGATGGCCATCACCACGCCCAGCTACACCGCAAACTGAGACGATCGATCCGGATGGGATCATGGATTAAAGAGACCAAACCTGAAGTACACCAGAGGCGGTAACACAGGATCTGCTTGGAGACCTGTGCAACGCTGCGCTTTGGCAACAGACAAAAAAACCTTCATTTCCAAGTTGTCAAAACCAGCAGCTTTCCCGTACAGGAGAAGAACAGAAGAACTCTGGCCTTCTGTGAGCATATCGGACACATAAATGAATAGTTGGCTGGCTCAGGTCCTACGTGTTTGTGTGACTTCATCAGAACAGATAAACTGGGTTCAAAGTCAAACCTAACATTACTGCTTTCTTGATAAACTAAATGTAAACCTTTTCCCTTACTCTCTGGTCCAAGTTCAGCAGTGGGACTTGAGAGGGGCTTGCAGAAGCCTGGCAGATCCGCTCGATGTTGGTAACAGCATTTTTGGCTGCCAAGATTGCTGCGGGTACGCCCAGTCTTGAAGCCTTTTCCTGCAGAACAGAGACTGAAAAAAAAAAACCCACACACCCACAAAGCAGAAACCTGTCAGTATGGGAGAAAAAAAGGTTTGAAAACGTGACTATGAAGGCAGAAGTCCCAAGTCTTCAGCTTCTTCCAGCACAGATGTCATTTGTTGCACTGGGCAAACCATTTTCATTTCTGTATCATTCCTATACTGTACATAACACGGGGGTAGAAAAACCACAGGGAAGGAACATCCTTGCTAAGCAGATTTTTGTATTTTAGTCTCGTGGGGCTCACAGTAACACTTTCAAATAATCAAAATAGTCAACGATCAGATCTTGACAGGGGTGCCATCGCCAGACAAGTAAGAAATGAGTAGCTGGACGGGAGACCAGAACAATGAAAAGAAAGTAAAACCAGGGTTGGATTTAACAGGCAAAAATCCAGTACACGAAGAAAAGTTCTTTCCCACGTCTGTCTCCAACAGATACTCTTTCACTCACCTATAAATGATTCTGGTGATACTTCCTGGTGCTCTGTGCCATCCTGTCCAGCTGGCTTGACTGCATCTTCCACCTGGAAGCCAAACAAAAAATGTAACAGTCTTAAAACACACACTTATAAACCTATTTCCTCTAAAGCATACTGAGCAGCTCTGGCATTCTTGGAGGCTGGAGAAAGTGAAATTAACACCAAACTCCCACATGGTCATGGTAAACCAAGATATCAGGGCACCTTACAAGAGACATATGTATAGTTATCGTCGTTTTAGGGAGAGACAAGGAGGTACAGGTCAAAGTTACTTGTCCCCAGTCACCCCAACGGATCAGCAGCAGCACCAGAAACAGAATTTCTGTCTTTCAAGTCCCTTCTGTGAAGCCACTCTGCCATAAATATTTGATGAAACATGTCAAAACAGGATCCTTTTCTAGTTAAATCCCCTTTTTCTTTTTACGAAGACAAATATTCTGCAAGGAAAGAAACATCTTTATGGCTGAACTATGGGAAGTACTTGAATTGTCTGTTGCCGTTATCAAAATCAAAAGCTCTCTCCAGTGTGCGAGGAGAAAGTAGAACATGGCCAAGTCAGAATGTTGGCTCAGGCGTCTATACAGGCAAATTACACAGGTTTTCATAAAGATAGTCACACCAGTTAGAAATGGTTGATAATTCAGAGAAAACCTAAGTCTCTCCTGATTTTTTTTCCTATATTCACAAGAAGCTGCTTCTGACCTCAAGCAAAAGGGGCTGGATTTCCCTTAGGATCTCCCAAACCCAAACCACACCGCCATTTTCAGTCTGCAACAATAAAACAATGAGGAACAAAGGAAAGAAAAAAAAAAAAATCCCATTTCTGCAACACAGAACTCTAAACTTCAGCTTACTGCTACAGTCCTTTTTCCTTTCACTTATCATGAAAACTGTGTTCCCAGGACATTCATTCTACAGTTGCCCTAGGAGGAACCCCGGTGGACCCCACCCCCAGCTGGGATCTCCCACGACGCCCAGCCTGACCACCAGACCCCGAACCGCCCGCTCCTACCTCCAGGAGGAGGTCATTCAGGTTCTGATGGTGATCCAGAAGGCGCAGGGCCGCTTCCCGCAGCTCTGCTATGCTCCCAAAGGCAGCCTTTCGTTTCCTGGCTGTCCCTGCTGAGAAGTTTGAATTTCTTTTAGAACCACAGCTTGTTCCAGCAGCTCCCCTGAGGACACCTCCCTCTCTCTGCTGCCACCACACGCACCCCTGACAGGGCGAAGGGGTCAGAGCCTCGTCCG